CAATTCTAGGACATTCAGTGTTTGCTTATAGCAGCTTCTGTTGGCATTCAAGAATTATGGCACTTAATTTTAAAGTCTCTGATCTGTCTTTGTCTTCAGTCCTTGTGAAATCAGAGCAGGAATTAGTGATTCTGATTGCACTACAGAAAGGTCTTTTTATCTTACTACATTTAACAAGTCAATTCAACTGACCACAAATATTGAGCCCTGCACTGCAGAGGATGATTGCACTTTCTTTCCTTTAGGACTGCAATATAACTCATTGGAAGCTTAACAAACTTACAAATAATTCTGCTTTATGTTCAAAACCCTTATGGTTGCTTATCTATTACTGCTTCCGCCCTAAACTCTGCTTTAGATTTTATTTGTTAGGTTATTTATATGAACTAAAATGCAGCATCCTCTCATAGGTGGGTTTAAAAGTGATCACATGCATTTCAACTGCAGTCATTCTATTGCAGCAAACAAACTGTAAAGGAGAAAAAAATATTTCCTCTGGCCAAAGATGCTTTCTCCTCAGTCAAGTCCAAACCAGTCAGGCTTTGATTCCTTCCTTGTTTAGCACTTGGAATGTCATCAATGTGAGAGTTGTTATAGCCTTAATGATCTTGGCAGAACAGAGCCATTTTTGGACCAAGGATCTAGTCAAATGTTTCTTAGTCATTATAGTCATATTGGCTACATGTGCACACAGCAACTAATTCTTCTGTCTTCCTTCCTTAATACGTACTTTGGAGAAGTATGAACTTGTGGACTGTGGAAAAATGAGCCAAGTATATTTTGTAAAAATAAAACACAAACTCCCCTATATTATTTAGAGTAATATTGCTGCTAAATGCAAGAGAATCCTACTGAAACAGTCTGTGATTGTGCACAAAAGTACAATACCAGGAAAGGGGTCCTTTGTCTGCTTCAGTCCTTTAGCAGCACATGTTTTGAAAAAGTTTTCCTCTCAGGAGAACTTTGGAAACTTCTACGTTTGCATGAAAAAAGAGATCAGGAGAAATAAATGGGATTCACAGAAAATGAGCTGGCATAAAATTTAATTCCTATCAGGAGAACTTTGGAAACTTACTTCTACATTTGCATGAAAAAAGAGATCAGGAGAAATAAATGGGATTCACAGAAAATGAGCTGGCATAAAATTTAAGAATAGAAATTAAGACTTGAAATAGCAGGAGCAGTACCTCTGATAGTGTACTTTCCAGCTGCTCTGGAATTTGGGGTATGGAAACTGGGATGCTTTTATAATTTATTAAAAAAGATGGGAAATATTAAAAATAGTTTGTTTTGGTGCCTACTAGGAGCATTGATATGCAGCATGAACCTCAATAAGAGTGTCAAAACACATCTGAGAAGCAGAGCTAATCATTGGACTGTTCATAGCTCTCAGCTCTGACTCCAGCTACCACAGTTATGCTGCTATGAGTATTTAAGATAGCAGAATTTGTGTACATAATTACTCAGACCAGCACTGTAGCTATGCCCAAAGTTTGCACTATTTATATATTCTAATATAAACATAGGAAAGTTTATGTAATTATGCAAATTCTCATGCTGAATTATTTACGGAAGATAAAATTGCTGTGTCTAAAAAGGTATTGCCTGAGCTATCTGTTACAAAGCTAGTTTTTATCTGGCATTCTATATAGACAAATGTTATCTGAAACAATCTTTATAGCTGTATTAAAAGTTTCTAAATATGTAGAGGTTTACATTTTTAAAATTTTTTTTTTTTTTTTTACTCTGGCTTTTAGGATTCAAGTTTTCAAGACCTTTTTTACCTCTCTGAGAATTAGAAATCTAGCTTAAAAGAAAAACAACCACCTGCAAACTAATCACTACGCATGACATGATTTTAGTACCTGAGACTTAGAAAAGCTCACTTAGCACTGTGAGCCAGG